CTACTGGCGCCTTTTCGACACGACGAGCTATGCGAGACTCATCGTCAAGACCAACCCGCCGAAGCAATGCGATAATTGTTGGGACTACCATTCACGCTACAGCTGCGGACGCCAGGCACGCTGCAAGAACTGCGGCAAGACTGGCCACGCCCAGGACACCTGTACCGCCACACAGCATTGCGCCAACTGCCACGGGCCGCATGCGGTTGACTTTCCCCAGTGCCCGGCTCGCCCAAAGAAGGTGAACGGAGCATTCCACAGCCTCAATAGGCCCGAGAAGAAACTTGTCCAAATCATGGGCAAACGACTGTTCAAGCAGTTTACAGCAAAACCAGCATCTCCACCGCGGGATCAGTCCACGAGCCTCGAATCCGACTCAGCGACAGCGAGCGACACGACCTCCACGTCCTCCCGAAGCACACCGACATCAAGTGACGCAAGCACTCCGGAGCCTGCGATGCAAAGTGTTGCACGACGCCCTAGCGAGACACCTGCTGCCTCTGCGGCCGCTCCCGATGCCCCAAACAGTCAAGCATCGCCAGCTCCAAGCATCGAGAGCGCTTCCAGCGTTAGGCACAGCACCGAAGCATCGGCCAGTTCGATCAAGCCCTCTCCAGCTATACCAACGACCTCCACTGGCTCGGTCACCAATCCAGCCTCGTCGGCACACAGCGAAAGGAGCAATTTCCCGCCCGTGAGGCAGAGCATCGAGATGTCTGGACAACCGAACGAGTATGTTCGTAATGGTCTAGCACCACCCGCAAGCCCCTCACCATCGGCGAGATCCTCGCTGAGCCCAGCTCCCTCGGTCTCCACGCCTACGCCGTCGCTCTCCTCCACGTGCCTCCTCGGAACTCCGGCTCCTGAGATTCGCACCTGCAGCCCTCAGCCAACCACTTCGCCAAAGAAGCGCCGCCTTGCCTCCCCAGACCGGTCTCTATGAACAGACGACCTAGACGACAGCATCGTGATAAGCGACTCTTCCGGGTCTTTCAAGCCAATGTCGGCAAGAATGGCCCCTCGCACGATTGCGCACTCGCCCTTGCTGACGCAGAACGATACGAGGTCATACCACTACAGGAGCCCTGGACGCAAGTCCGTGACTCCCGCTGCCTCACCAAGACACACCCGGCGTACGACACCTACTCACCGGTGAGCACCTGGGAAGACATCGACACCCGACCGCGCGTCATGACATATATTCTCCGGGGTGCAAGACTCTTAGCCGACCAGCAACGTCCCGCTCTCTCCCGAGACATTCTCTGGCTCGTGGTCAATGGCGTCACTCTGGTGAACGTCTACCGGGAACCGCACGTTGACACCGCCCTCGAAGTACTGTTCGCAAGGCCGATGCCCAGCCAATGCATCATCGCAGGCGACTTTAACGCGAGGCATCACACGTGGCAGATTGGCCCCTCCTGCGGCCACGGCGGCATCATCGCAGAATGGGCCGCAGAAAACGATTTAGCTCTCCTCAATCCGATTAACACGCCCACGAACGCCCACGGCAATACCATAGACCTGGCCTTCTCGAATATTCTCCTAGCCGAGGCGACGGTGGAGGACCACCTTGCCACGAGCTCGGACCACTTCACTCTCAGCATCTCTCTCCCGGCTCTCAAGCCAGCCACACTCCCGCCGGGAAAGATTCTTCTCGCAAGCGACGAGGAGGTCAAGCGGTTCACGGAGCTGGTCATCTCAGGGGCCACAAGCATTCCCCAAGCAACAACAACAGCTGCAGATCTCGATCAACTCGCGGACGCAATCATAGACCTGATACAATCCGCAGCTCGCGCGGCTGGCCGGCGATCCCAACGCAGACCGCGGAAAGCTCCGTGGTGGAACGAGGAATGCGCAGCGTCTGTCGCGGAGCTCCGCTGCGTCAGACGGGCATTCCCACTCGGCTTCAATCGTGACGTACAGCTCGCTCGTCGCGACCTCCGGCGTGTGGTGCGACGCGCGAAGCGGGCATACTGGCGCGCCCTCATCGATGGCGTGCAAAGCGACAAGGATGTGTTCAAGATCACGCGATGGCTGAAGCGTCCTGGGGTATTCCGCCCGCCACCTCTACAGGTCGGCGAGACAATCATTGAGACTCAGATCGGCAAGGCCGAGGCCCTACGACACGCTACTCTCGAGCGCAGAACCGCAGACGACGACATCTCCGACCCCTGGACACCGGCAGAAGACACCATACCCATTCCCTTCTCGCCCAACGTCCCCATTGAAGAAGTCCAAGACGCTCTGCTGCGTACAGGCAACACGTCGCCAGGATCGGACAACATCACGGTACGCCTGCTCCGAACGGCATGGCCCGCTCTACGCTGCCACATCCAACGCCTATGTCAGGGTTGCCTGTCCCTTGGCTATCACCCTCCGAGGTTCAAGGAGGCCGAAGTGGTCATGATCGAAAAGCCAGGCAAGCGTGATCTTTCCAAGACACGTGCCTGGAGGCCAATATCACTGCTCTCATGTCTTGGCAAAGGATTGGAGAGGCTTATCGCTCGCCGCTTGGCTTGGGCCTCGATACGATACGGTATCCTGCACCCACAGCAGATTGGCGCCCTTCCAAAGAGGTCCGCGGTCGACCTAGTCGCCGCCCTCGTGCACGACATCGAAACAGCTCTGGCCAATAGCCAAGTTGCTACGCTAGTCACAATGGATGTACAAGGGGCTCTTGACACCGTCATGCGCAACCGACTTATCCTCCGACTCCGGCAGCAAGGGTGGCCGACGCACCTCGTCAGATGGGCTGGCTCCTTCATGCAAGACCGCTCGGCCGCAATCCGATTCCAGGACGTCACAACGCCAGCGTCGCCTCTTCGATGCGGCCTCGCACAAGGCTCACCTGTATCGCCAATTCTCTTCGCTCTGTACATCGCCCCTATCTACCGTCTCGGGAACTCGGATGGTCGTTTCGGCTACGCAGATGACACGGCAATGCTGCGCACCGGGCGAACGCTCGAAGAAACGACTGCTCTCGCGTCCGGAGACATGGAAGAACTTCTGGTTTGGGGTGCCGCCAACGGCGTCACTTTCGACCCGGACAAAACCGAGGTGATGCACTTCTCTCGGAAGAAGAGCCCCTCCCGGCCCTCCGCATTCCAAGGCGGCACCGAGATCGTCCCTGGAAACGCAATGCGCTGGCTCGGGCTCTGGCTCGACCGTAGGCTCTCCTTCAAGTTCCACGTGGACGAGTGGTCCGCCAAAGCCAGGCGAGTAGCCAACCTCCTTAAAGGCATCGCAAACACCAAGCACGGCCCTCTTCCGCGCGCCGTCCGCAGAGCAGTGAAGGCATGCGTCGAGCCGACCTTATTCTACGGCGCAGAGGCGTGGTATCCCGGAGAGGTGGCGCCTAGCGTTGCAAACCCGAATCGGATCGTGTCCACGCAGGTAAAGCACCTCGTGCTACGTCTGGACAAAGTCCTGAGACACGCCGTTCGAGCTGCCCTTCCTGTCTGGAAGACGACCCCGATCCCAGCCATGCACCGCGAAGCTGGCACGCCGCCTGCGTCTATCGCACTCGCCGCTCAGCAGATCCGTTTCTCGGCACGCTTGAAGTCTCTCGACGGACGCCATCCCCTTGTTAAAAGGGCCTCGCGGAAACACCCTTGGGCGCCGCACACTCGGAACCCCAGCTCGACCCGACGTGTCAAGCCGACGTTTCAGTCGAGGCTACAACGCGCCGACCAACTCCTCCCGAAGTGCCATCGGCCGGCGCTCCTGCCGCGCCACTACTCCGACACAGAAGCCAGCCCTCTTCAGACTGCAAACAAAGCCGAAACCGCTGGTGACTTCCTCGAATGGCTTGGAACCGCCGCCGC